TGACCAGATTACGTTTTTATTAGGGAACGCCTATCAATACTACACACTCATTAAACCAATTTTCCATTCCATCAAGACATCTGAACAATTACTTTCTCATCACATCATTCTACCCACAGATGAACAAGCCCTGTTATTCACCTCTGTGTTTTTGATATGGTTGGATTGATTCTGGCAATGAAAAGATTTGTTAGAAGCAATGCATACTGAATAGTTTGATGATGTTCTTCAACTCTGGTCAAAATTATTGTAATACAGAAGACTGCTATGGAGGCACTTCACTTTTCCAATGGAATCCAATTTAAAATGCTTCTTACTTAAAACTCAAGGAAGCAGGGCATGCAATTATTTCCATAGACTGCGTGCACACACACTCACTTTTATTATACAAGCACAGAATGTGCTTCTGAAACTAGTTTATCTAATTCCCCATGTGAATATGTCTTATTAGCAGTTAACTAGTACATGCTCTTAACTCAGAACCAATTTCTAGTGACCCCACTAAAGGTTCCCAGGTAAGTGAAATATTTAAAGAGTGAGTTTCCATTGCCAAGCAGGGATTCAAGCTCATGTCTCCACAGTCCTAGTCCATTCCTTTATCCAGTAAAGTCAGAGAGGAGGCACTTCACTTTTCCAATGGAATCCAATTTAAAATGCTCTTTACTTAAAATCAAGGAAGCAAGACATGCAACTGTTAATACAGAGTGTCAGTTACATACCACAGTTTTAGAACCAGCTACCAATTGGGCCAGTTCAGATATGAAATTGGAGTGCTTGCTTATGGATTCAGTTCCATGTGACTGCTGTCTGAATCTTGAATGGGGGTAACCCATGGGGGTAACCACCTCAAAACAATAAATCCCATGGACCACCAGCGCTGTCAAAAAGTGTCACATTCAGTATAACCAGTTCTTGCGAGAAGTGAAATCCAGATTTGACTAAATAATACAAATTATTTTCAGCATAAACCGTACCACTCTAGTAATGTTTTAAATCAATCTACTGTTCTACCAATTTAAAAAATTAAGAATTGGTTCAAACATGATTCTGAATTTTGATGGACTAAATTCTATTAATAAAAAAAAGATGAGAATACAGAAAATTTTAAGCAGGTAGTAGTACACCTGGGTATTCTGTCAGTAATCGTTCCAATTCAGGTCTAGAAACCAGGCATGAAATCTACTGCATTTAATACAAAACTGTCCCAAATGCAATGAAGACACATTCATGTAAAAACTGAACCTCACATCCACCATCTACTGTATTACATGAAGCATCCTTCCTTCTGTTTTTGACACTACATGCTTGTAGCCTTCAAGGATGTACTGGAAAACATTTAATATACAGAACCTGTGGCTTCATCCAGGCTTTCTAGAAAACCACTACCCCACCCGTAACACCAACATAGTGTACTTTCAGACCTGCATAAATTACTCAGGTACTTTTCTCATAACAAGGGAGGGGGGCGGGAGTGAGTTGCAGTCACAGAACCAGCTAAAAGAAAGTAAGAAAGAACAGAACTAAATATGACAAGTGTTTCTTTAACAGAAAACCAACAGAAGTAGGGCATTTGGATAAAAGCATTGAAGACTTCCAACATCCAGCAAGTCATGTGCACACCATATGTGACAGATGGGAATCCTTCTCATCTTAACCCTGAATTTAGCTTTATTCAGAAACATCATTTCATAAAATACCCTACAAAATTAAACATTGAAAGAATTAACTATCAGTAGGAATGGGCAACCAAAACTACCTCAATTAGAACAGGATTTTGGTATTGCCCAAGCATGCTTAAGTGTTGTCTAATTTTGTACGAAATCCCACAGCAATGATTCTACATTTACCCAATGTTCTGATATGATTAACAGATACGTACAGAGGCACTCATATCAAAAAATTGCGTAGTACTTGTATGTTACAGAAATTACAGAAAACTAAATAATGTACACTATCTAGGACACTGGTTCTTAACCTTGGGTTACTCAGGAGTTTTGGACTGCAACTCCCAGAAGCCTTCACCACCAACTGTGCTGGCTGGGGTTTCTGGGAGTTGCAGTTCAAAAACATCCGAGTAACAAAGGTTAAGAACCACTGATCTAGGATACAGTTCTGCCATGACACTAATCTGTATTATATGGAAGCTCCATTACAGAGTAACTACTAGGAGCAAGTTTGCAACTAAGTAAATTCATCACTTAGCAATAGTATATAAATCCTTAATTTATGTTAAGAGTTCTTTGGAATGTAACAACCTGCAATCCATAAAGTAGTACAAGATGGTATAATACTGGAGGACAATACTGCATACTTAACAATTCCTTTATCTGAAAGTAGTAGCACTTACATTTTGTTGTTTTAAAAAAATATTTTTTAACATAAGGGGTGACAAAAGGGAAAAAGGGAACTGGAATTAATGAGGAAGAGGGGAGACAATAACATACTGATATCAAATCTATACCTATTGCCATATCAAGATTTTAAGTTATTCTGTTTACTCTTTTCTGCCTTGTAGATACAGTTCTCATTTCAATATATGTTATTCAGACGCTGCCTGTTGATTCAGTCCACTTGTTAAATAGATCCCATCTTTCTGTTGCCTTTTGCAGGGGATGATCTTTCATGACTTCTGATAAGATATCCATTTCGGCTATTTCC